GCATTATTTTGTCCTTGATAAAGTGTGGTAATTGTAACTGAGAATCTTATCAATGTCATTGGTTCATTTTGATTATTTTGAAATTTATGTAAACCCTCACATGGTTGTGAGATATGGCTAAGTTGAAATTAGTCTGCGGAGTCCAGACAGTTTGATGAGTGTGGCCATATCAGTGTATTATTAAATGGTACAGTAATATGAAGCATGGCCAGCCAGGAATCTCTCCCACTCTCACTGCCTGCTATTGGTGTAAGTTGGAAGGATTTTTAAGTTGATATTCAACCTGTTTGGCCACATTATAATTGCACTTTCCTTGGATATCAAGTCCTAGAGTGGGACATGAACCCCACACTTCCATTTCAGGAATGTTACCCGTTGCACCAGAAGACCTCAGTTTTAGATTGTAACAAAAGAGTCACCAAAGATACAATGAATCAAATATCCTCTTTCAGTGCTGTAGGCATTTACTGTATAATCCTACAGTTGTAAATGTAGCTGAAATAATACTGCTAGCTCTCACCCCTTGTCAAATATCATCAAACAGGCTGGGTCTAATGTTTGAATCCTCAAATAAATTTCAAGCACAGCAGCTAAAACTACACAATGGTAAGGTTAGAGTCTATGATCTTTGTTTTCACTAATAATTTCCCTAGTGTATTTTTAAGTAAAAATTTGTACAAACAAATGTAAACAGCATAAAGTGCAATGTGCTTTCAATGACTCGTACAGTGAGATTTTGAACCTTTTCTACATTCTTTGATCTTCTTAAGGTTAGTCACATTGAAACAGTAGTTTGGTTGAGAATATTTTAACAAGCTGTGACAGTCCTACTGAAAATTGTGTCACCTTGAGGCCTCCTCCAATCATTTTGGGGATTCCAAGGGAGCTGAGACCCATTTTCTTTATAATCCACCAGGGGAATTCAAATTCTGAAGACAGTAGTACCATTGTCATTCTTCACTTATCATGTACTACAAGACAGAAATGTGGCATACACTAGTAGAAAGATGTTCTTGTACAATTTTTTTAAAAATTGAATAATTGCTACTCAGATAAATGAGAAAACGCTTGACCGATCAGAGGAATAGTTAAAACAAATGGAGCTTGGGCTTTATCATTTGTTTAACAGGACTTGGTTCAAGGTCTATTGCATGCTTATGAGAGGCCAGAGGTATGTCATACTGAACATATCATACCAAATATTTTGGTAAGAGACGAGAAACACATCTGGTACCTGTCAACAATCATTCAACATAATTCAGTACAAGCAGGTTAAAAGCTGAATGTTGGAATGCAAAGCAGTTGCTACTGAATCATTTCAATTGCAAGGGATTTCTTTCACATTGCTATCATTAGAAATGTTCCAGGTTAAAACGTGAAATACGTTCTAATTGGACAAACGGCAGTAGCCAACTATTCACCATTTGTCTGCTGATCGGTTACCAATTTGATCCATTTTGTTCTTATTGTTTCAGCTCTCTCCAGTACATGTTAACAATCCTATTCTACCTGTTGGGGCTTGTTACAGTGACAGACCCTTGAAGAAAAGCAGGAGCTGATGAGAACAAATAATTGGTTTGACTTACCTCATAAATCATTAAGGTCAAAGGTAATAATGTGTATGCATTGGTTGCACTTAAATGGGGCAGAAAGGATTTGCTGCAACTCGAATGTTGCCTTGGGAACTGCAGGTCTTGTTGTGAACAAGAGTACTCAAAGGAGGCTGCCCCAAGCAGGAATTGCAGTACAGGCTGCTCTGCTGACTTTACAGGTATGTTTTGAAGTAAACATTATGAATAATAGGACACAGTAAAAGAGATAGCTGAGAATTTTTATGACATAAATTCTCAATGAGATCTTTGAAAATATAAATAATGGCAGGTGCCGTCTAAGGAGCCTTAGTGGATTTCAACAGTGCATCTTGTAGTAAATATTGTAAATTGCAGCTATTGAGCATCAGCAATTGAGGGAATGAACATTTGTGCCTGTGGTGTTAATCAAGTTGACTGCTTTGTCCTGGATGGTATCAAGCTTATTGAGTGTTGCTGAAGCTGTAGTCATCCAGGCAAATGGGAAAGATTCCATCATACTACTGACTTGTGCCTTGACGGAGCAGGCTTTGGGGGTCGGGAACTGAGATATGCAACATAAGATTCTGAGCTTCTGACCTGCTGTCATAGCTATGACATTTATATGGCTAGTCCAGTTCAGTTTATGGTGATTGGAAACCCTCATGGTGTTAGTAGTGGGCTATTCACTAATGGTTAACACTGTTGAATATCAAGGATGATGGTTAGATTTTCTCGAGATAGTCATTGCATGGTACTTGTGTGGCATGAGTGTTATTTGCCACTTATCAAGACCCAAAGCCTTTGCAGTATCCAGAGCTCCCAGTTATTTCTTGATTTTTCATGTAGTGAATCAAACCCTGGGGGTTGAAGACTGGCATCTATGATCCTGGGGACCTATGGAGAAAGCCAAGGTGGATCATTCACTTGGCATTTCTGGAAATCATGGCAAATGCTTTAGCCTTACCTTTTGCATTGGCGTACTAAGTCCACCCATCATTGAGGATGGGGATATTTGTTGATCCTTCACTTCCAATGAGTCACTTAATTGACAACTACCATTCTCAATTGAATGTGGCAGGACCATAAAACTTAGATCTATTCTGAAAATGATTGGATGGGACCAGCAATATTGGTTGAGGGGTGAAAGCTGCCTGACAGTGAGCGGAGGGGGAGCAGAACAGTGATGGGTTAATTAACTTTCAATCCAAGATTGCGTAAATTAATGATCTTCTTTATCAGTCATCATTTTTGGTGAAGTTTCCGGCCCCTTTTCTGTTCTGCACATTCTCAGAGTGACGTACCTGAAAATGGAAACTTAATACAAAGGACTGCAGAATCAAGCAGGTATTAATTGTGACATTACGCAATCCAAATTATTGCACCATGGTGCTACTCAACTTAAATAAAAACATTTTAGTCCATAGTCTCATCCCACCCTATATTTCCTCCAGCCCTAAAATCCTCTATCGGAGGATGAGAAACAGAAGAGCTCTGTTGAAGGCTTTTTTTTGGGCTGTAGGCTCCCGAAGCAGAATATGAGGTGCTAACCTGCAAACAACCTCTAAAATCCTCTATGCTGTTTTTGTTTTCCAATTTTGGTCTCTTACATATTCCCAATTTTATTTATTCCATTATTGGCACTGACAGCTTCGGTTGTCAAAATACTATGAGTAACAGGGTTAATGTCTGGAACTGTGTCAATCGCACCTCCCACAATGATAATGTTAGAGAACACACGAACATGAGAGCCATGAGAGGAATTTGATGATGCCTTCAAAATGTACTTATGCTGTATACTGCTCCTTAATATGTATTAAATTATGTATTCTTTAATATGTAACAATTACTGTTTGAACCTACTATCAGCCTAGTAATCTCTCCAAAGATAGACTAACCAACATACAATTCTAAGCTCTGGAATTCCCTTCCTAAGTCTCTCCACATCTTTATCTTTCTCTCCTCATTTAAATGGCTCTTAAAAACAAAGAACTTTTAACCAAGCTTATCATTCATCACTTATTTACTCCGTGCATGACTCAAATTTTGTTTGATAGTACGGCTGAGATGCCATGCAACATTTTACCACATTTAACACCACCATTTTAAACAAATTGCTCTTGGTCTGGTTCTTCTAATATGCCTCTGACTCCCTGGATGCTACCCTCCTCCTACAGGAATGGCACATATATTGGCGGGTTTTATGCACATTCTGTGAAACAGCAGAAGGCCCCCACATGTCCAGAAGGTGTACAACCAACACAAGGTGTTGTTTTTACTGCTTGCCACTGCTCCAAGCCCTTCTGCTCACCCAAGTGACCTTCAAGCACGATCAGGTTAGTCTCCACTGGTTTTCTCCCAATCAATGGACATCAGTGGACTCTGTCTGCTACATCAATGACAAGAAAAGTATCATTATCTAATGGCCTGCACATTCTTTCTCGTTTGACCGGATCACTTGATTTGCAATCCCCCTCTTGAGGGGCATTTGTTGTCATATTTTCCTTGGTAGTATTGGTTCATCCCAGTGCAACTCTTACTGACCTAGAATCAAAGTGGAATAACACTGTGGTATACTCGACTTACATATGTTGTAGAACATGCCTCCAAGAGGATATTCTTCATTTCATGTTGTTAAATTGATGGTATCAATAATGTTGAATAATCCAATTAATTTTTAAAATAATACTGCACAGTAAAAGGTCATTTAATCTCACGAGGCTGCCTGGTGTTTTTATTCCATACAGGTGCCCTCCCATTTCATCTCAACCTTCCAGCATACCTTTCCATACCCCTTTCCTCTCATGTTGTCAATACTCAACATTTCAAACACCACAACAATAGAGGAAGGAATGATCTTTATATTGTTAAATGAACTGTAGAAATAACACACTATCAACAAATTTAAAGATAGAAGCTTTGTTGGGAAAACGTCTACTTCCAGTTTCACTAAACAACATGTTTCCTGATAGTTCTGTCAACGCAGAGGTCTTTAACCTTTTTTAATGTCTGACTTTGCTAAATCTCACTGCATTAATGTTTAACTGAATCATTGCCCATATTCTGCTCATGTGATAAAAAGGTGGCTAAATATTTAGGATAACAAGTTGTAGAGCTGGATGATCACAGCAGGCCAAGCAGCATCAGAGGAGCAGGAAAGCTGACATTTCGGGCCGAGACTCTTCTTCAGACCCTTCTTCATTAAGGGTCTAGGCCCGAAACGTCAGCTTTCCTGCTCCTCTGATGCTGCTTGGCCTGCTGTGTTCATCCAGCTCTACACCTCGTTATCGCAGATTCTCCAGCATCTGCAGTTCCTACTATCTCACGGCTAAATATTTACTTCATTTTGTGATTTCTTATGGTTTTGCCTTCAAAATATATGGAAACATAATAACGGACAATTGTATTCATAAAATTACAAAAACCCGAATTTACCAGCAACATTTATTAATGACTTTATTAAAACCGGATATAATTGAAAGTATTTAAATGTTATTGCTGTTTTCTAAATTCCCTCTTATCCCGCACACGCCCAGCCCCCAATTCTCACATACAGAAAACGCATTGAGCAGAAACCCAGCTTCCCAGTTCATTGGTTACTGCCAAAAGTTCTTATTTTCACACGTGATCTTACATGGAAAAGTTGTTTTTATTTGCGCCATACCGAAACACTAATAATTTGAGCGGACAATTCACGCATAGGGGGCACTACGGTCAAGATCTTTACTGAGGGAGCATTTCCTTTGGATACAAGTTCTAAGAATTGTCTTCTGATTTCGTCAAAAATAACAAACAAGAGAAATCTTAAACGGCAATGAACACGCGTACGAGCATTTTCCAACAAAAAGTACGGGTTAACGATCAGGTAGCTACCTCAAGGAGTCCAGAGCTTAAATGGGTCGGTTTTAATTTAATCGGATGTTTCCTGTCAATTTACTGCTCGTTTGCAGGTTCCTACACTATGTTTGACCCATTGATTAATTTATCGATTTTCGTAGAACTAATCAGAAATAAAACTAACAAGGGATCCGAACTAACTGATCCCTGGATATGCAAAATGCTCTCTCGTTTAAGAATTAATGGTTGAACACATTATTCTGTCAAAACTCTATCAAACACACTTCTCCCCGCGTAGTGAATTCGCGTTATGATACTCCGACAAACGTACAAACGAATTCCTTGGTTATTCTAACGTAGGTGCCATTTATTTTTTTTTAAATGGGTTAACAGCCCTGAAAAATGGCCTGGTGCAAACATTAACTCAGTCATAATATCTCACCCTATTCACATCCTTAATTTCTAACTTGTACGATACTTTTATCTTCAAGACAGTGCATTTTCTCCGCTAGTTTTCAAACTCTTCCTGAGTTTACTGATTTGCTGATAAGATTCCCTATAGAAGAGGGAGGTTTAGCATATTTCAAATAAACATTAATTCGTGTTTGTCCTTGCTCGGGGCTATGTAACGTTGATAGGTAGACCTATCCCTCCCGTTCCATGACACACAGCCTGCTCCCATATGATGTCATCAGTTGAAACATGATTTGCTGTGTTTTGTAGTGGGACGGGCAGTCCCACAACAGCAAGGTGGATTCAGTTGAAAGGTTCAGTAAAAGTGAAGTCAGTGTTGATGACAAGTGTTGCCTTGAACTCAGTGCATGATCAGAGCGGCTTCCTTCGTGTGCGCGCCTTGCAAGGGAATCACCATCAACAAGAAATACATGAGAATCAGTAAGATTTGAACATTTCGCGGGACAGAGTCTTCACTTTCTTCGTCTTCTGAGTGAGTGACGGTCGCTTGTTGAGTAGCGGCCTCTCTCCCGGACTGGGTCTGCAAGATTAAGTGAAATGCCGACTGACATCTCGCAGCCTCCGGGGCTGAGCTCCTCGCTGCCCCTGAGAATCCTCAACAAGGGGCCCGGTTACCTCCGGAGGCAGATGGAGGGCAACCGCCGGAGCCCCCTGAGCGCCGTGGAGAGGCTGGCGGCCGACAAGGGCAAGTACGTGAAGAGCCCGCAGCTGGTGGCAGGCGGTCAGGCGGAGAAAGAGAGGGAGGCCCGCTCCGGTAGCTCGGTGTCGGGCAGCCTCAGCAGCAACAGCAGCAGCAGAGGAGGAGGAGGAAGAGGTGGTGGTGTTGGTGGAGGTGGGAGCAGCGGCATGGAGAGCTGCCCGGGAGGAGGCGAGAAGCCGGCGGGAGACTCCCCACGAGGTGACCAGCTCCCGCACGCTCCCTTACAGCGGGACGGCGGCGGCACCACCATCCGCCGCTCCAAGAGGCAAATGAGGCCGGACTCGCTGGTCATCTACCGCCAGAAGTGCGAGTTCGTCAAGGGGTCAGGCGGCGGGGCCCGGGCCGCCAACCAGAGCCTGGTCCGCCGGCTCTTCCAAGGGGGCTCCATCCGGGACAAGCAACAGCCGCCGCCGCCGGCATCGCCCGAGGTGCCCAAGGTCATCATCAAAGAGAGAGGGCCGGCGGACACGGGCTGCGGGGATGAGGAGGAGCAGCCGCCATCGCCGCCGCCAGCAGGTTCGGTCACGTCCCCAGCCCCGAGGCCGGTTACCGCTGTCCTCCAGCGGCGGGTCGGCAAAGGGGGTCTACACCGCTCTCAGTCCGACATCAGCTCCCGCTACTCGAGAGCCTTCTCGGAGTTCGACAGCTTCTTCAGGTACTGCGGCCTGGAGCCCGAGGTGATCGACGACCTGGGCCGCGAGAACTTCACCTCGGCGTCCGACACCGCGGTGACCGTGCGCGTCCGGAGCGTCAGCACGCCCGACTCGGACAGCGACTTCTCCCGCCACAGCGCCCAGGAGGACCAGCGGCCGCTCGAGGAAGCGCCGGCCGAGCGCAAGCCGGCGTCCAGCCTCTCGGTCATCGAGCGCAACGCCCGGGTCATCAAGTGGCTATACGGCTGCAAGCGAGCAAGGGAGTCCACAGCAGCCGAGCTCGTCTAGGCGAGCGGACCCCTGACAGAGAGGGGAAGGCTCCTCCAATCTTCTCCGCCCGGAGAAGCGCTGCTCAGTCCTTGCAGACTCCTCTTTGCAGGGGAGTGGGCGAAGAGATGTTGCGAACTGTGAACCAGAAGCAGCCAGAGCTAGGAATGCACAAAAAGTCGGCTCTCACCTGTGTGTCTGGAGAGGACAGTCTCCACCCCAGCGTCACCTCTTCTTACAATCCTGACTGCATTCCCCGGGGGATGCAGCGGGTTTTTATTTTCAAAGTTAGTGTACGTCTACCTTTTTTGCTTTGACAGATTTAGAGTTGTTCTGGTGGCCTCGGTGCAAAATTTAGAAGAAACTACAGTAGAGACTGTTTGACTGTTGTAACTGTGAGGGAGGATGGGAGAGACAGGATATATTCTTTCTATTTAAGAGATTTATTTTATTTTCTGTGTTCAATACAGAATCTGTTTTCATTTTAAACGGTATTGTCATGAACAGAAGTTCCCATTCGTCTGTTTGTGCCGTTGAAACGTTGATGTTTATTTTGATGTTTATATATTCTTTAAAACGTTGCAGGATCAATAGCTATCCAAGGTAAGCAAAAGTCTATTACAACAGTCAGAGATAGTAAGAACTGCCGATGCTGGAGTCAGAGATAACAGTGTGGAGCTGGTGGAACGCAGCCGGCCAGGCAGCTTCGGAGGAGCTGGAAAGTTAACGTTTCGGGTCCCGAAATCAAATGAATTATCAAATGATTCCTGTACACATTTTTCATACCAAATATATTTTGTGATAATTTCAAAATGAAATCTTATGTATGTAAATATCACTTTCAGTTTAAAAATATTCAGTTTTTGATGTCAGTTTGATATTAGATTTTCTTGCTCAGTTTACTCTGACAGATTATATTGCCACACACAGCTACTGCATCAGTGACTGTTTTGAAACACTTATTAGAAAACGCTGACATTAAAAAAAATACTAGGAGCAGAAGCAGACCATTTGGCCCTTCGAGCCTGTTTCAGCATTCAATAGGACCGTGACTGAGCCTTTATCTCAATGGCATACTCCCTTTTAAAATCTGGGCAATTTATCTATCTCTTTCTTGAATACATTCAGACATAGATTTGGTTTGATACTTGTGCTGAATGACTTTGACTTTGTTCTTGGAATAGTTGTTAGACTATTTCAATTTGAATTCAAATGTTGTTCTCTCTAGCCCCCCTTAGAACAAGTACAAAAGGAAAGCACTACAGATGCCAGTAATGTGAAAGAAGAACAGAAAATTCTGTAAATATTCAACAGGTCTAGCAGCATCTGTGGAGAGAGAAACAGTTAAATTTTCAGGTTAATGACCATATCAGAGCACATATGATGCTTTAATGCTGAATCAAATATTTGTTGATGCTGACTAGTAGGAGAAGAGGATGTGCTCACAAGATTACCTGGCCAATCCTGACTTCTGTCTGGGAAATGTTCTGCCCAGTCTCATCAATGCCGTAAAGAAGGGTATGATTCACTATGACAGGTCAGCGAGCAATCACATTTTCTTTCATATGACAGTGTCTCACTTATTGACTGATTCTATTTAGTTATTTCGTGACATTAACCCTGGAGATTACTGATTATGGACAAGTTTGCTTCCTGTGTTCAGGGATGTCAACACCACCACTCTTTGTGCAACCACCATCCAACCTGACTCCTACCCTACCAATGCTGGCTCCCAGTGTTTACTCTGCTTTGGAGTTCCTTAAAGCTAATACATGTGCCGAGTGAAAACACCATCACTAGAATGGTTTGAGAGTTGCAGACTTTAAGGATTTATGTATTTATGACTCAATCCCAGAAAATTTCCTCTATACATGACTCTTCTCTATTGATATCTTTTGATGCCATTACTCATTAGATAGCTTATAATCAAGAAAATAAGGGAAGCCTCCAGAAAATCAACACGGCCCACCAAACTGGGATTTCTCAGTGTTGTTTGTTTGAGACAGAATTTGCCAGTTTTTTTTAAAGTGAAGTTACAGTAAAGTACAAGAATAATATGCTTGCTCTGAAGCTCAGTGCCTTGAGAGAGATAGAATGAAGATCCCTCTAAAGAGAGAGAGAGAGAGAGATTTTACATTTGTATAGTGGTTATACAAAAATAACATGGCTCAGGTTTTCATAGACTTATTGAGGACAATTTTGATTGAAAGATATTATAAATCAAGCAATATCAATTTAGGCATCCATTTTATATTTCTAGATTTTAATTTATGTTGACTTAGGATAAGATCAGAAATAGTGAAATCAATGAAAGTCATTGTTATCCCTCTATATCAGTTGTGGGCAGGTGTCTATAGTTCCACATTATCTTCAGACTGGAAGACTTGCCAGGATCCCTTGAATGCAATGTCACTAAATACATTAACTCGGGTTTCCACACTTGAGCTTCTTTCTAAAAAGCAGCTGCCATTACCATGGTACTAAGGATTAAAAAAGGAAACCGAACACCTACGTTTTTTTTTTCCATTCAATACCTTGCACAAGTTAGAAGCAGGGCTATGCCATTCACCCCCTTGTACCATTCCTGGTCAACAGAGCCACGGGTAACTAACCCTGAGGCCTTTTTTACAGAAAGAAGTTTACTTACAGTCATGCGGGCCTCACTGGTAAGTGAGTTATTTTTAATTGCCCATCCCTAGTTGCCCTAAGAAAGTAGTGAGCATTGGCTGCCATTTTGAACCAGTGGTAGTTAAGAATTAATGGCATTTTGGGTTTAGAGTCAATCTGGGGTAAGAACAGCAGGTTCCCTTTCACTGAAACTGTTTGTTTTCACAGAAATATGTTTACTTCATTTTCAGTATTATTGACCATGTCCAGAAATTTTTATGATAACTTGGGGTTTGAACTCTGTTTCTGGATCAGTAGTCCAAGTCTTTGCTGGACCAGTGATACAACCACTACACACCAATCCCCAGCTCTACTGTTTGTGTCAGTACTTCAGAAGTTTGCAAAAGTGGCTTGGGACAACTGAGGAATGCTTGATTTTCACTGTGTGACATTCCAACCTGTTCTGGCTCAAATTGGACATTCAATGTGTGGAACAAACCAGGAAATCTCACATCCAAAGAGGCTAGCTCCATTGAAAGAAAACGTTTAAGTTGGATCTGAATCATTTTGATTTGAGCATATAAACCATTTATACTTGCTCTCATAATTAGCAAGATTCCACCTTTCTCGTGCTAAGTGTTTATAAAAAGGATGGCATGGTGGCTCAGTGGTTAGCACTGCACCAGGGATGCAGGCTTGATTCCAGCCTCAGGTTTTGGGGAGTTTGCATATTCTCCCCTGTGTCTATGTGGATTTCTTCCCACAGTCCAAAGATGTGCAGGTTAGGTAGATTGCCATGCTAATTTGCCCTTAGTGTCCAGGGATGTGCAGGCTAGGTGGATTAGCCATGGGAAATGCAGACTTACAGGGAACAGGTGGAAGATAGGTATGGGTAGAATGCTCTTCGGAGGGTCATGGATGGGCTAAGTGGCCTGCTTCCACACTGTAGGGATTCTACGTCTTCAAAGAAACAAGCTATGCAACCTGCAAGGTATCGCCTTTCACCCCACATGCCGATTGGCATACATATGTTGAGTTAGTTTGTGCACCGAAGGCAAATTAATTTTGTTGTATAAACAGTAGCTAACATTACCTTGCCTATAGCCTGTAGATATGAGAAAGAGACAGACGTGCTTTTCATATCCACCAGAAGTGTCTGCTAACTGTTGTTCTTTATTAAACTTTGACCATTGAATTGCTATCGGTCATAAGTGTCTAGGGATTATTTAAATCCTTCAAGAGCTTCTGTTTATGGTAGGCTGACTATCTTTCTGTTAAATAGTTTATAAAGAGCAGTAATAAGCCAAAAATGACAAAACCATTTATAAATGGTGGCAAGAAAGAAAAATGAGCTGCCAGTAAAAAAAGTCTGTCCTGAATTTATTGCATAAAGATTAAAAGTTAAAAATGTCTTCACATCAGTGAAACTGTGGGAGATAAGTAATATTGTAAAATCAATTGCCACTTAAATTTCTTAAAATGCATTCCTAATTTTACCATTCTGCCCCAAAGCTAAGACATTGGGGGAGCATATAAATGTGCAATAATTTTAAAAATACTTGCTCAATAAGTTGTTGTATCATTCAGACTTGGACTACTGAATTTGTATTGAATAAGCTGGAGGTGTCCTGTTTCATTTCTGCTGACCTGATAACATTTACTGCTTCTGTCATGGCATCTTTGCAATCTAGTATAAAACAAGGAAAATGTAAACATGAGTGTTAAGATTTCCTTACACCCTACAAACCTGTACGCACATGTTCTACAGCAGACATAACTGTGAAAACAGCAGCTGAATAGCTCTTCTGGGAGAGCAAAGCAAGCCACCCACTCTATACATAGGATTTCTATTTATTACGGTTTTCCTGGTATTTGTTATTATTAGGAATGTTTCATTATGCTTTTAGTGAGAAATTATTCTATCTCAGAAACATGAACTAAGAGTAATTTATTGCTGGAATTACTCCAACATTTGCTAATACTCATCAATGACTTGGTATCTTTAAATAAAGATTATATGAATACTGGTATTTGAAAGGAAAATACCAATTAATGTATATTGTAAAAATAAATCAGTGTTTTATATATTGACAACATAGGCAGTAAAGCAGTTTTATGTAAAGAGTATAAGAATATTCTTGTATTTTATTCATTAAAATAATAATTTTATATAAAAACGTTTCTTCAATAAATTTCAAATTTATTTTTTTTGGAAATTTGCTGTGCATAAATTGACTGTCACAATTCCTATGTTGTGATATTGACTATTCTTCAAAAGTACCTATATGGTTATAAAGTGCCTTAGGATGTCTTAAGGTCATGAAAGGCCCTTTTTTTTTCTCCTGTTCTTTCTGCATGTTGCTCTAAGCATGGCCAAGTTAGTCCCTCAGGCCTTTGTAAACTACCATTTAGTTGGCAACATCTGCACACAGTCATGTGAAAGTTGCCATGTCCAGAGAATTGTTAGAATTTGGAACTCGCTTTACATGGAATAGTTGTAGAAAGTAGCATGGATTCATATAAGGGATAGTTAGATAATGATATCATTATATTCATACATATTTATAGGAAGAATATTAAATTGGAGAAGATTCAGGAAAGATTTATCAGGATGTTGCCAGACTAGGCTGGGACATCTTTCATTGGAGTGTAGGAGTTTTGAGGGGTGACCTTACAGAGTTAATAAAATCATAAGGGGCATAGATAAGGTGAATAGCAAAGGTCCTTTTCCTTGGGTGGGGGAGTTCAAAACTAGGGGGCATATTTTTAAAGTGAGAGGAGAAAGTTTTAAAACAGACACGGGCAACTGTTTTGCACAGAATGGTTCATAAATGAACTGCCAGAGAAAGTGGTACACTTACAACATTTAAAAGACAAAAATTGAACTTCTGAGGAAGGGTCACTAGACCCAAAACATTAACTCTGATTTTTCCCCACAGATGTTGCCAGACCTGCTGAGCTTTTCCAGCAATTTCTACTTTTGTTTCTTTTTATTTACGGCATCCGCAGCTCTTTCAGTTTATGTTTAAAGGACATTTGGATAAGTACATGAATAGGAAAGGTCTGGAGGGATACGAACCAAACACAAGCAGGTTGGACTAGTTTAGTTTGGGAACTTGATCAGCATAGATCAGTTGGACCAACGGGTCTGTTTCCATGCTGTATGACTTTATGACTCTATCAGGTAGATGGAAATAGAAACATGT